TGCCCCGTTAGCGAAGGGTCTGGGTTCGAGTCCCTAGGATTCTGTTCATAACCCAGTATTCATGTGAAACATTTTAAAAGCTTTTTATTTGCACCCAAAAAGCAATACCAAGCAATAAGCACACGAATCGCAAATATTACACGTTTGCATCGTTGGCTGCAGGCAAAATGTGGTCCGATTTGTTCCAACGAGATGTCTACAATAAAACAAGCTCAACTTCAAATTTAAATATTAAAATGAAATTTGAAAGAAATTCAAGAAACAACAGCCTTACGGTAAAAAAAAATTGATTGAGAGACCGTAAAACACGTACCCATCGCTTCTGCAAACGCCTCAGGAGAACCCAACGTCGCAATTTCCTCATCGAATTTCTTTACAAATGTTGAAGTCTTTCGTAGGGTAATCCAAGATATGGCTTTGCAGCCATTCCAAACGGTCTTCGGAGTCTATCTGAAACAAACGATCACAATAATTACATAACAGCAAAGGTTTGCAAACATCTCGGATCTACGTTTGTGCGCTTTGGAATGACTATTGATTTTACGCGGAGATAGCCTATATCGACTCTTCGCATGCATGAACTAAGTGCAAGATCTGAGGCGATTTGTGTTTTCAGTTTTGAAAAGAACTGGTGATCAGGGTCAATTGAGGGCGCTCAATGCTGGAATTGGCTTCAGTGGTAAGACTTATAAATCGCTCACCGGTATGACATCACGGAAATACCGGTCGACAAAGGCCCAAGTTAGGCACACCGGACGGTAACGAAGGAATGCCCACTTATTCGCGTGACCTTACGTGTGTATCGGCGATAAAAGAGCGGCACGTAGACCTAAAGTGAAAGTAACGTAAAGTACGGAGTAGGAAGTTCCCAGCCTGTCCGTTCTTAGATATGGAAATGGTGGACAGAGGCAGACTAAAAAGAGCTGGTAGGGGCAGGCAGTGCGCTTCTGAATCCGTCTCTGTCCACCCTGCCTGGTAACCGCTTTTATGACTGCGTAGACAATACTCACGTCGTTTCGTTGCTCGAGCCAACTTTGTAGTGTAAGCTCGGTCATTAGGAAAGAGATCACTCGATGTCGAGCATTACGAGTAGGCAACTCGTCTGGTGGGAGGGAGAGGGCCAACAGGTGTAGAACGGCCAGATACTGCGCATTCGACTCGCGGCCGCCGCCTTGGGAAGCTTCCGAAAATGATCTTAAAAGAAAAACTGAAACGAGTCAATTACACATAGCTATGAGAATATCAATCAAATCAAATCAAGTTGTCAGCAGTATTGTGCCATAAAAATCACCTGAAGTACACGAATTTGTCGATCAGCTCACATATATCGACGAAAAACAATCGCACGACATAGGGGAGGTACAGGGGCGGCCACTTCGAGATCAGCTTGGTACCTAAATAGGTATGGTGACACTCCAAAACTAACTTAAGCTGTAACAAAAGAAACAAGACCAGTTACCTGTTTACAGCGAGAGCCCAGTCAGCTTCGCTTGCCGCTCCAGTCGCTATCGGGGTAAGCGCATTGCATTTGGCGCCGGCATTATGCAGAGAGGCCTAAAAGTATCATTTAACAAAGCAACACAGGTCAATGCGTTCAAATATGATAATTATGTTGTTCCATAAGTGAGTCATT